CAGTTGGGGAAAGAAATCGGTCAAGTATACCTCGGCATCCTTCCATTTTTCTCGCGTGTTGAGAATGGATGCCTGTGATCTTGAGGTTGACCCCCATGGTGCTGATAGTGGTTGTATTGTTGGTACTAGGACCTGTTTCCCCGGGTGTCCTGGTCCCCTTTTTTAGCCTTCTACCCTTTGGTTGGACACCAGTGTAAACCCCTGGTCGTCTACATTTCTTGCCGTTAGTTTATTTTGAAGTGCCGTTGGTGTATATTCCTCTCGCCTCAAGTCCGCCGTTCTTTCCGAAAGCTCAAATCGTGCCCTCTGGACACTTGCCTTGTACGACGCGAAGTTTGGACACGTCCCCTTCTGCCACAACTTATGGGCTTTACCGCAGTTGCAGCAAAGCACTGACTTCCTCGGGCAGTCTCTGGTCTGGTGAGTTCCCGCACACTCACCACATCTCTTCGCCCTATTGCACGAGGCTTGAGTATGCCCCCATTGGCTGTAGTTGAAGCACTGCTTGACTTGCGCACGGGGTGACCAGAGCTGGGCCGTGTAAAGCATTGAGTTGAAGACAATGCCGTTTCTTATCACTTCGCGTTGAAGTGCCTCTGCCTGTAGGCTCGCTACTACTGACCCTCGAGTATGGCCATTCTTTCTCATCCATTGGTGCTCTTTGCCGTCGAAAAGCCACCTTATCCTGTTGATTTTAAGTTCTGGAATTCGAACTTTTGACTCCTCCGTCATTTGATATATTAATAAGCTGTTGTTGGCATCTTTTCCTCCTCGTATCATTGTCCCCAATGGGACCTCCAAAATCTCAACAGGATAATCCTGCTTCAAGACGCAGAACTTCTTTGGCTGCGCCATCCTCAAGGCAGCGTCTCGTTGGGAGACCGACTGCACATACACCTCAGTGTCGTTGCTCCGTAGCTGCATAACAGCGTATGCCCCTTCAATGTGTTGTTTAGCCTTGTAAAGTAGCTCTGCCGGCTGCATATTTTCTGCCCCTTCGACTCATATCCTTACAGCTGCTTTAGTTGCCAGCGGTGCGACAACTGAGGCATTGGTTGGTCGAACTCCCATTGTTTGTGCCGACTGAGGAGCCGCCTTGCGCGCCGGCTCCTCGAGACTCTTCGTAGTTGTCTTCTCTAAGGCAAGCATTCGTTCTTCTATAGGGTTAGCCGTCAGCTTTGATTGTAGCATCTTAGGGTGTGCTACAAAGGCGACAAGCACCTCATCTATCTCGACTATCGGTATCGCCGATCTGTCTCTAATCTTGTTTAGATAATAAGCAATCGTTTTTAGTTTATCCAATTTCATGCCAGCAGAATTCGTGAGAGATTCTACAAGCAATATTGCGGCTGTTCCGCTATCCGTTGGTGGTTTCGGTGGTGCCGTGAAACTTTTTCCAGCCGTGAAATCCACCTTTCCAGTACCCCAACTCGCCATGCCGAAGCGCAACGTTAAAGATTCGGGGAATCAGGTATGAAGGACTGATTAAGATGAATGCAATGATTAAAACGATGAAATAACGTTCGAGGAACGTGGTGCCGCTTTTAGTGAAAAATGATCTTACTGATTTTTGAACTTGACTTCATTTAGCCCAATTTGGCGCCTTATGGGCCCATGCAGGTGTCTATGAACTCTAATATTTATGAGGAAACCTTTATGGTAATAACCCCCTCAACTTATCAATTGTCAGTCGAAACTGCTCTAACCTTACTTCCTGCTGGATCCATCTAGTTATCTTTGTAATATCTTTGGGATTGTTCATCATGATCTCAAATGAACGGTTTTCTACCTTTCTCGGTATTTCTCCTCTACCTTTGGCCCATCTGGTACAGGCCATGACCATATGCTTCACATTTTGAGACAGATATCCACATGGGCATCGTGGATTGTCTACTCCCGGAACTTTTCTACTGTGCAGATAGGAATTGAACCCAATGTGTTCGCTTCTTATCTGCATGGCTATGCTGCTCTTAGCCCTGCTCAGGTGTTTATGGATACTAGAAGGTGTTCCTCTTTGGCTCATTCCTGTCTTTCCCGTCTTTTCATCTGTATAAAGATTTATTGCGTTCCAGATTTTGGGATCTGCTGTTGGTTTATGGTTAGTAGCTTCCCTTGCCATTCGTCTTGTCCAGGATTGTTCCCATTCTCTGAAAGCTGCGACCTGTACAGCCGCTTTCTATCGTTCTTTCGTCCCGATATTCTCACATTTTTGACCCCACTCCGCAATATCCAACATCCTCATGACAGCTCGTGCATCTTGCCTTCCGTCTCGGGGCTGCTTAAGCTTCCTGCATGCCGAGGATATCGTATCTTGAACCAGCGGGCTTTTCAATAGTCCGGCGTGTTGGACCCTCCTTTGTTTCAGATAGATTTCCATCGGAAAGGTAGAGGTCTCATTCTCAAGTACCTTGCTGCTGGTCAAGTTGTATGCTTCAGTGACGATCAATAGGCACCTTCTTTGGATACTTCGAAGCGGCTTGACTACTCTTTCGGGATTTTGCCGGCCATTCCGGGCTCGGCCCAAATGTGGGATCCGTAGGTGATAGCTGGTCTCACCACTGCATTGTACACAAGTTTCGCCTTGGGATAGTTGCACCCTAAGTCGATTGTGCTAATCTACCTAAGGCTTGAATTTGTAGTTCGACTTTGAGCTGTATGCTTTTGACATAACAACCCCAATCGAGCTTCGGGTCGAGATGAATACCTAGGATACGGAGGGAGGTTTTTATTTTTTTAATCAAGTGTATGCAGCCTAATGAGGAGGGAAGGTTGCGGCTTGGCGAGATGGCCTTGGAATAGGACTGTGGCCTGCATGTTATGCGTCTTTCTAGCTCTCGAGAAGTGCTTAAGCTGGGACTTCTCCGGGGCAAATTTTACAGCATTCTGGGAAACAATTTTTGGGGATAGACTTGGGAGAGGTCAGGACAAGTTCATAAGATAATGCAGAAGATGGACACGGTCATCACGGGCATGAAATATTGAATGTTGGCCATGAATTTTACAAATTGAGCTTTGTGCTCTCAAAGACTTCGCTTGCGAGATTGCAGCTGACACAATAATGACAAGTTAACGATGGAAGGTGCTATGGTCTGCCTCCTGGTGGTGTTCTCTGGTATGGTTTGAGTCTCCTGGTCACATACTCCCTTTGGGAAGGAGACGCCTCAGACCACATTCCGCGCGAAGAGAATTCAGTGGATGATAGAGGCATGTCTGGATAACTTAGGGTTTATGAAAGGTTTCTTTGGGTGAGTATTCACGGATGAGGGTTGACTTGGGATGAAGAAAAAGCTACCATAACTTCGTAGTGGTCCATGAAAATGATTCTGAGGTATGACTGCTCTTCTTAAACATTAAATCATCTTTTCCGTACCTTTTCAACGATTTTGGATCACAGCTGATAGATCCATACGCTATTAAACCCTGATACAAATAAAAATACTGGACAACCTCAAACTTAACTAATGTGTTGAACATATCAAGTACGACCGTTTTGAGAACCCGATTCGAGTACGCCGGAGTGAATTTCCTTCTCGACTAGGCCAGCACGCAGACAAGTCCTTAATACCCTTCCCATGACTTATTTTTCCTTCCCGTTCATTCCTAGTTAAACTTGCCGCGCGGGATTATTCTCAACACCTGTCAGTGGTGTCCCCTACGAGCCTCCAGCGCTCACTGTAGAGTCTGCAGAGCCGAGATTGAATAATAAAGTCCTCATTTCGATAAGGACTCCGATTCGCTTTAGCCATCTGTATCTTCTTCATCTCTCAACACATTCCCCCATCACCACTATCATGAAGCTAACCACGATCAGATAGGATGGTAGGATCGGAACCCTTTTCATCACTGACCCTTGATCATGGAGGAAAAGCCATCCGATGAGTTTCCGGAGCGTACCCAGCACCCGATACAAAGATGGTAGATTGGATCAAGTCGGCCTCGAATGTTACAAATAAGGGAGATACAGATGAATATGCGCACCTCGTGTGGTCTTGGTGTCTAGGCCTCGCCTGGCTGGGTCTGCAGGTTTTTTGAGAATTCTTCCCGCGCACGCAGTTTCCATTGCTACTATTTTAATTTTTTTTAGGTAGAAGGTTCCGTGGAAAAGGTGGCCGAATTCCACGGGTAAACACTGGGCTGAATGGCTATTCATCAAGGGGAATATATCAATGATCTTTCAAGTAACAAAAGAGGATATGAGCACTGTACAACGTGTGGCCTGGGTCAGAGAGGAGCCCAATGTGCTAGATAGTCATAGACTCAAGTAGAACAATAAACACACACACATAGGAGTAAAATGGTCAAGTCGTTTAGAGATCTTATATACCCTGTATTAGTAATTTCATATTAGCGTGTAGGCGAGGCTGGTAGACATATTAGTAGGAGCACAGTCGCGGCATTTTTCCTGTAAGGCTGTGGGAGCAGAGTAATATACACGTTCTGTTTACCCTGTACTTTATCAATTCTACTTCCAGTAATACTGTATTATCCGTCTAGAGGAATCATATTCTAATATTCTATTCCTAAATCGCGCCCATATTCTTTGAGCCGCCTTACTCATCGAACCCACACCGATTTTCCAACACAAAATGAATTGGCTGAGATACATTTGAGATATTGAAAGGTTTCAGTCGTTTGAACACTAGCCTCCGGCAGGTTTTATCTTACCTACGGTACCTATTTGAGGTTTAAATATATCCATTTGTTGAGAAGTGCGGTCGCAAATTCTATCCCGGTCGTATTTTCAATCAATATCATCAAAGAACTATTAGTGGGTTACATTTCAATATGATCGGATTACCTGCATGAAGATAAAATGACTCATTTCTAATGCAGTTCGTAGATTCAAAAAAACATCAAGATAGTGTTTCGCCGAGTATCATCAGGAGTAAGTCTTAATATGTGTTTGAATAGTTTATTGGCAACATGATCACGTTATTGTTATATTTCCAAATTAAATAATATTTCAATACCTTAAGCTCCATATACTTAGTATAATCATGTTATATTCTTTGCCGCTTCCTTCCCTCCGGTAGATCAACCGCCGAGGTCTTACTTGTCTTCGTCTCCTTTATTTTCTCCAAGGGTTCTTCCAAATTAAATAATGTTTACTGGCAAATGTATAATTAACGTGGACAAATATCTGTGAATTCGATAGTATTCTTACCAACAATTTCATCAATGGTTTCATTGAATGCACTTATGATCGGATTGTACAGGTCGTCGAAACTTTCGTCTATGCCAAACTGGTTGATATTCTGTCCAAACAATGTTTTGTGCAAATTACTAGCAAGTTTCTTAGCACCATCAAAGGCCGGTGGGAAGTAACCAAGTATCATTACATCAAAATGTTGGATAATATGAGATAGCTCTGACTCGTAGTTGGATCTTGCAGGCTCAGTAAGCCATTGTTCCAAGTGTGTCGGTTCAACTTTGGAATCACGACCATAACACATGCATCCCACGACCAAGATGTAGAAAAACGATTCCAGATCATGTCGATATTTCTGCGGTTGAGTAAATTTATTTTCACGGATATTCAACAAAAGCTCCAGCGCCATGTACTTCATGGTTCCGGTTACGGCAATCACTTCGTACATTTTTCTACTGCTCTCGATCAACGATGACATATCCAGATCAATCAGTATTCCCTCCGTGACTCCCTCTTTGTTGGGACGACTCAGAATTATGTTGCCTTCCGAGACATCACCATTAAGGAGCCTAGCCTGGTCACGAAGCCGTCGATGCGCGAGGATGGCATCTCGAATACCCACAAGGAATTTTCGAGCAGATCTGCAGGACTGGAGGAGTCGTCCAAATGGTGAGAGTTTGGCGACAGTTAGCCCGCGTTTTGTGTAATACTCTTTGCGATCCAACGATGCCGATTCTGATCCAGTGCTCAGACTACGCCCCCAAACTCTCATATCCCATCTTTGTCCACTCGAGAAGTCAATATCCTTGCGCTGCGTCTCAACATTGTACAGATCACCGGATCTCTCAAGATTGATGACACCATGGATTGCCTTGGCTAGTCTCAACGCGTCGATCTCGCTTCGTTTGGTGCTGCTACTCCAGGAAAGCTTGATCAGATGTTCGCCATCAGTCGTCTGATGACAAGTATTTCCTCGCGAGTAAATCGTAACTGGACGGGCTACAAGCTCTGGCACGACCTCAATTTGCTCCCCAGGATTATCGCCGGCTGGGATGGTGATGTAGGCGTGTTGTCCTAGATACCTAAAAAATGAATCAAGACCAAGCTCTTCGTCACTCATCGGCATGTAAGAAGAGAGGGCTCGGACCGGTTTTTCTTGACTCTCGATAATATTAATTTCGCCTAAGCTGTACCCGCCCGATTGATTGACAACACAAAGCTCCAAGTGATACTTGTGAAGGCAGAATCCATGCACGAAGCAGCGTAGCGGCTGCGCGTAGGACGTCTCGCGCACATATCTCATCAACTGGTGTGCCTTCTCGCCCTTCTGTCCCGGAGGGCAAGTAAACTCACCCATAACCCTGACTTCTCCCCATTCATGAATGTCACTTTCAGGTAACGCGACATTTTCGATGAAAAAGTCAAGCTTTCGTGACGTCAGACCTCCCTTGTGTTGCGTCAGGATTGTGGTGTAAGAAAACCTCCCTCGCACCTTCGGATTGTAAGGCGACCTCGCGACCACTGGCTCACCGCTGATCGGCAGCTCCGCATCTTCAAGGAACTGGCTAAGGTAACGGTAATGTAGAGCGTAGAACTAGCGTCGCATGGCTGCTTCGTCCATTTGGTCAGAGAAAACGTTGTCTCCGCCAAATTGTCCTTTGTCCCGATAACTTTCCCAGATCCACGTTGTGAGGGATGAGGAGGCTAAGCTCTCGAAATGAACTTCCCAAAAGTTGCCAACAGATTTATATACGTTCCCTATTAACTCTGCCTTTAGGGCCTCTGCAAGGGTGGCAATTCTTTTGTCGTAACCAACGGGCTCTGCGACATCCCGCTTCAAATTGACACTTGAACTTTTGTGTGGTCCGGCTGAAGTTTGAGGGTTTGTTGAAGTTGGTGAGGGTTTTCGGGTGAAAGAGTCGGCTATGGGGATGACATCGGTCCAGATTGGACGGTCGCTAGCAAAGCCTTTGGTGGAGTTGACGAGGGGATCGAAATGGGTAATGGGAACTTTGTCATGTTTTATCTTTGAGATTATCTCAAGGAGCTGATCAAGCGTTGAAATTACCTCATTATCTGTCAATTCGCTGCTGCAATTACTCAACTTGGAAAGAAGATGCCGAATAGCTTCATGATTAGTTTTTGATATCTTTGTACTGTAAGGAATATTTACCCTTTATTTGTTTATCATTAGTGTTGACCTTCTCTCTGAATTCATCGAGTGTAGGAGTGAGAGGTTTTCGTGCGGTGTATTCGAAGAGTTCGTTAAATCTGTCCATTTTGAGTATAGGTTGGGTAATTGTAACGATATTTATAATTGAAGATGAGAGATAGATGTTTAATGTAATTAAGAGGAAGAGTGAAGATGATGAATATGATAACTTGTTGATACTGAGGATCTAAGGTTTATAAATTGAGCGATGGGACTGACCACTTTATAGTCGCAAAGGCTCCTGATGCAAATTGATCACCAAGTGATCTAAGTGAATACCTATTCCAACGACTGGTTCTGATGTTGTGACAGAGCTGAACTCCTTACTTCCTGCTAGTGTCGACGCAAACAAGTTCAGTTTATTTGTGTAACCCGGATGGTGGAGAAAAGGTAAATTCCTCCCCTTTCAGCTCACTTATCAATCATAAAAGAGTTTGCTGTGTGATACCATCATTTTTCCTGGCACTAATCTGATAAACAGTTCCCAGAATTACCTCTGAGTCTTGGATCGAAAACATCCATGATCAAAAGCAGCCAAGTGGTGGCAAAGTTGTTAGTAATAGACTGACAGCTTGTAATGATATGTCTGGGGTCAGGTCTACTAGTGGTTGTAGCTTCAATTCATTAAAGGCTTTTTTTACATATGACTGCATCTACCCGTTTTTGTTTAAATAATTTAATGTGTATTGAGTTATAGAGCTATGACACATGACCGGTGTTTTTTTTGCAATAAACTTTAATTACGAAGAACACGACCGGTACTATGTATACATGTAGGATGGCTCTTTTGACGTTAGACACTCATACTCTGTATTTCATTGGCAAATACCACTTTGAGGTGTGCTTGCTTACACAAACAGTCGACCCTGCAGCTACCCGTTGAAGGTGAGTGAAAATGGGAAATGGTAGATATTCATACGTCCTGTCACTTTTGGGCCATGGTGAATACGTATCCGTCCAACAAGATACCACATTAAGCCTCAAATAGTTGTATTTGTAAAAGAGGAACCCGGCTAGTCTCTACCGTGTAATGGAGAGTTATGCAGACCAGGTATTTGTGATAAATGTGATATCCCATAGGCTCCTGGGCACCTACTCCACTTGGGAAGGAGACGTCTCAGACCACATTTCGCGCGGGGAAAATTTGAAAGATGATGGAGGCATGTCTGGATAACCCAGGGTTTTTGAGACGTTCCCCTGGGTGGGTATTCACGGATGAGGGTTGACTTGGGATGAAGAAAAAGCCGCCATAACTTTGCAGTGGTACTTGCAAATGAAATCCGAGGCATGAGTGCTCTTCCTTTACGTTGAATCTTCTATTCTGTACTTTTCTTTGATATTGTGTCGTAGCTAGATAGCTGCATAAGCAATTAAAATCTGAGGCAAAAAAAAAGAGGAGAGACAGTCTAACCTAGTGTTAACTAGCCCAACTGCGCCTTCAGGGCTAGTCCCTTGAACAACTCAGTTTCAAGGTTAACATTTTGGATCCTAGAGGCACTGTATTCCTACACCTACCAATATATATTTAATTCATTATCCTTATTTGGAGCCTTAGAGCCCATGCAGGTTTTTTTTCGGGAGATATGTACTTTACGTAGGATGACTTAATTTGACGTCTAGAACAATCACACTCAGATTTAATTTGCAGATACCGCTCGAGGTTAACCCTTGTGCGTGTAACCTCTTCCGTGCATACCCACCACAGGGCAAAGCGGGAGAAGCCTGTGGCTACCCGAATATGCTTTCATCATCCCACAAGTTCAATGTCTCCGCGAGAGAGAGAATGGTGTGTGAGTTTTACTGGACTCAAACCAGCTTTCTCCTGACTCAAATGGGATAGGCATTCAGGCTACGCAGTATCTGCTTGGGAGAACGGCCCGGATGGTGTACTACTGCACCATCCAACCCTACACCAACCAATACTTGACTCATCCGAAGGAATTATTATTATTAATTCATTTTATTGTCCTGTCTGAGTCTTTGACCATGTAGGACATGCAGGTCTTTGCCTACAGGCTAAGGATACCTATACCGGTAGTATATTCCCTCTTATGCCTCCTATGCCTCCCATACAGCTCCCCTCAAACAGTACCGCCTGTGAAGGGACTTCACATTTGTTGTTCACAATTATGGGTCCAAAAATGAATTTATATTTTATCTAAGGAGGAGAATATTTACAACGCGCGCGCAAGATGTTTTGTTCCAATCGAGCGCGTTTTCCCGTGACACTAGCGCGCTTTTGTTCATAGACGGAGCCGGATAGTTCCGGATCCACATACAAGGCTACAGCCTGTAACACCGCCCCTCGCAAGTCCTCATTCGATCATACACTTAGAGGTGCCCTTTGCCCTACATTATCTTCTCTCTCCAGCCAACGAAACGATGGCGATTTGTGGGTGTATGGCAGCCGGGAAAAATCGCAAAAACCAATGGGTGCGGGGCTCTTCTAGTACCGACATTAGGACTAAATCCGAAGACTTATTGCCCCTTCTGAAGCGTTCGAAGAGGCCGGCTAGTTGGGCGCTGCAGACTTGCGGGTACCTGGGGAAATCCACTCTCTGCCTTTCTAGCCTCCTTCCAGCTCCTCCCCGAAGGTCGTGCTGAAATGTCAGAAAAATCTTGACAGAGCGTGATTGCTGTATGGTAGCTTAGCCCAACTTCTTTTGTGCTATCCAGGGCGCTGGGGAGCGCCGTTGACTCATCGACAAAAGAAGCACTCCTGGCTAATTAGCTGAAATCTCAGTCTTGGCGCCCACAAAAAATCCAAAGTTGAAAACTCCTCGAAAATATCGGTCCCAGCATGGTCTTCAGAGTCTTGTTTCCCCTCTCGATCCACTTCTCAGCGGCCTGTCATTCCTCAAGATGTGCAACCCCATTAGAGCATCAGTCCCCCATAAACCAAGACCCAAACTTTGTATTTTTTGACTTGATTTCCTCGCGGGTATGAATAGCATCGTAAATTTGTAGTGAGTGATGGCCGGCGATGAATGAGGCAATCTCCTGTTTGCAATTGGGGTGACGCCTTTATCGGTCGGCGAGGCGAGATGATATGTGTTTAGATCGGGGTTGAGAACTCAGAAGATAATGATGAGTGCTGCATAATTGAGAAGTCGTCAAATGGAGATATGCATGTGTTTGCTTTCGACTTCGATTTGGGTGCGATTCTTCTTGGCTATCCCAGATATGCAGAGCATATCTGAGCGATTACACCGGCACCACTGGAAGGTGAAGAATTCGTCTTTGCCGGCCTCATCCGAAGGAAGTAC